CTTAAAAAAAACATTTTCCACCACATTCTAATAATCGTAACTAAAAGATATTGATAAAGATGTCTCATTTTCTTGCGTATGAATTTGAACCTCAATATTATTATTACTTATTAGATACATTCATTTGTAATTTATCTAATTAATTGGCTATTAGTTGTTTTATATGTAAATATAAATATATTTTGTTTCGGCTAATAAATTCATATATATATATATATATATATATGTATATGAACATTCAATTTACTTGTTCTCTAAAGTTTCCTATTAATATGTAGGGTAATGATTTGGGTGCAAGAGTCGAACCTCAAGTCTCTGATTGAAGGTCTATTTATAGGCCAAGCTAGGGACTAGTTTTAGCTAGAACAATGGCATCCTAAGCTTTTTGAGGAGTGGTTCAGTTTCTTAGGTGATTAGAGCTAAACCGAGCTTGCTTCTCTTTGTCCTTTTCAATTTGATTTGCAAGTGAGCTTCTCGGTTTTGTTGTGGATAGGAGGAATCACAAGAGGGTAGCTTGGGTAGTTATAAGTGAATCGAGCTCTCCACCTCTCTTATAGTCCATACTAGATTTGGGTTTAAGTGGATTATGTTGAACCTCGATTCGACTCCATGCTTGATCCCCTTAACTTATTTCAACAACATATAGGAGATGATATGAGGGTCTTAGTTCAAAAATTAAATGAATTAAATTTTAAATTTCTTTATTTGGTCTAGTTTGGATCATCATACCCTTTGATTGTTTATTTTAAGCACATCGATTGGGATAGTTTGGCTTGAATTGGTTTTAGATTGAACCAATATCAATATGATTTGAATTTCTTTACGTGGATGATTACGGTCTCATTGTATTATATTAAATAAAATAAAGCACAACCTCGCTTGGGTATCATTGGTTTGGAAATGACTAGTCTTGACCCAAGGTAATTCTAAATGAGTTATCTTAGGTTTAATTCTCAATAAACTTTGATTTGGTCTATAATTAACCAAAGTGGTCTTGGGTTTGTTTGGTTGATTTTGAAGAGATTATTAAAGGTCATTAGGTGTATTTGATCAAAATTCAGCTGGTTTGAATTAATTGGGGAAGAGTGACATTTGACCCAACCATCTCTTCATATATCCTATTGGGTTAAGTTAGCCTATTTAGCCAATTTAAGGTCAATATTCTCAAATCAGGTTCAAATTAATTGGGATGACTTTATGTTTGATTTTATTAATTATGCTTTAAGTGGTTTTTAGAGTTTGACCCAACACTCCTTAATGGATCATATTTGGTTAACTACACCAAATGGGTTAATTAGGTTTAATTGGCTTGATTTATGATTTGTACAAGTCTATTAGAGCACTTACTTAGGCTTGATTTGCTTATTTTGGTTGATTTTATTTGGATTTCAAAGGATCTTAGGGTAGTCTAATATGTTAGTTTTTGGAATGCTAGCCCAAGTTTGACTCGAGTATGGTTCTTTAATGACTCTTAAGCTAGTGAAGTTCATTGTGAATCAAATGGTTGATTATAGAAATTTGATTTTGTGATTGGTTCCTATTTGGTCACCATGTGCTGACTTGGTCAAACTAGGTCGACCAAACCATTTGTTTCAAGGGTGAGTCAAGGATGGGTCCTAGACTCCTAGAAGGAATGCTAAGGCTGAAGTAGATTTTTTGAGTTTATACGATCTAATAGTCTTAATGATGGTCCAAGAATACTTTAGGGAATAGTTTAGTTTGCTTTCTGATTCTTGATTATTTAGTTGTGGTCAGTTCAACTTCAATTAAATGAGTTAATAATCAATTGAGTTCACCTTAAATAAAGGAAGGTGAATTGATTTATTTTAATTTTGGTTTGATCCGATCACCATTTAGGAAAATCGATTAACAGAATTTAAAAAGGAGCTCTTATATTAAGATTTGGTTTTATAGACTAAGAATGGAAGAAAGATTTGCCTACCTTCTTAAAAATGAGGTCAACAGTCAGATCTTAGTCATTCACTTAGTTCCAAATTGGCTAATTGGCCCATGTGGCCATTAATTAGGGCCAAATTTGATATTGAGATTGAAACACTATTGGCCATCTTTACAATAATCATCATGTTGATTATGTTGCGAGTTGACAACTCCAAGTTTTGAAAACTTGAGAGTACTAAATTTTTTATTGTAAAAGCTATGGCTCAAGTCAATGACAAACTTCTACAAATTATTAGTAGGGGCGTTTTGCTATTACTTGTTAGGCATGGTCACTACAAGTAGATTGGATTCTCCATCTTTATTGTAAATCCCAAATATAGGCAGAGCAGAATGAATTCTCCTACTTTTAGGAGATAAGGTCTAATAAGTCTAGTTATTGCAACCTTGTTCAACTGTATTTTAGCAACATTAAAGATGGAGTATAGCCGCATCCGAAAATAGAGAGAAATTTTCTCTAACGAAGTTGACAAAATTATCTGGAATTTAAAAGATTACTTGTTAATTCTTTGGAAACATAGGAACAACTTTAGAAGCTTTGTAGTAGGAGCAATACCACATGAACAACTGACAATTAGTTAAGCCTATATAATTAATATTTTTTTATAAGTATTTTAATTAAGGAGATCACTCTCGCTCAACATTACTTCTTATTTACTTTGCTTTGTGCAGTAGCATAATGATTATTGGGATGGTAGTTGACCTTGTTTAAACGTCTTGGATCCATCATCTACAATGTTTTCAGGTTTATCTTTGTCGAAAGAATTAGGGAGCCTTAGTTGTAAGCATATGCTCTGTCCTAGAGTTCTTTGTGCTGCAACTAGAGTACCTTGGTCAAGAAGCTTTCAATGATCAGTTGCATTGAGTCAATGAAATTACTATAACTTTTAGCCTGAATTAATGCTTCTTAGATGTGATTGTTAGGCGATGAATTGTCTCATCTATAGATTTCTCTTAAGGACTAGAGGTGATAATATATGAAAAGAAAAACCTCTAATAGTGAAACGCTGATTTTTTATTGTTCCACCTTGATGTAATGATATATGGGTATAGTCCCTAGAGAACCACCACAATATGGTACCAATAGATTGGGATTCCAAAGGAACCAATATATTCTTCCCTGATATCACACTTGTTTAAGTTCTTGACCTTTCGTTCTCTTTGAGTGGTGAAGGTATTGACATTCTACCCAGATACATCTCATAATGTTTGTTGCAGAAGTCTTTTTGTAAAAACAACTTGTAGTTGTGTGAGGATATAGTTTTTAGTTTCTCTATTTTGGGGTGCTTTCAATAGTTTACTTCTGCCAGAAATTATCCTAAAATCATTATTTATCATGCTATTTACTCTATCTTCAACGATTGATCTCATATAGGAAGTTGGAGCTTTGGTGATTAGCATGTAGCTAAGCATTAGTAATTCTTTGGTTTAGGTTGTTAATGTGCTTATCTTTATTCAATCCTACTTTGGCTCAAGATTTTGACTCCAAGCCATTTCATTTAATCTCAAGCCAGTTTAACTTTGGTTCACATTGGCTCATATATACTTGTTTCAGTTCTAAGTCCAATTAGGCGTAACTATAAGCAGGATCAGTTTGTTCTCAATTTTGATGATTCATTGCATGCTTGCTTGGTTGTTTGATTTGAGCCAAATATCATTTTGATCTCAACCTTTCTAGGTTTTCTTAGCCAGACTTTCAAACAATATCATATACATGCATAGGTGTATATGTCGGTCCATAAATGAATCTATCCATTAATCAAATACAAATGCATAAATAAATGTATGTATAATGGCATCTATCCATATGTTTCTATTCTGATATGATCTTAAGCTGGCTCGATTTGATCCAGGGCTGACTCAATTCAAGTTCAATCCAAGATGAACTTGGCTCAGTAATTGACTCATTGTTTTCAATCCTAGCACAATTTCTACTAAAAATTGTTTAGATTTTTTGAGAGATCCTTGATCTTTGAGTTAAATTCCCAACCCTATTTTGGGTTATAACTACGACCTTAGTGCCTGAAGAGTGGGGTTGCAAACGAATTGAACTGGGCGGAGCTAAGCAAGTGCTTGTTTGAGCTCGAGCTTAAGGTCAATTCGAGCTTTTTGAAATATGTTTGAGCCTGAACTTGTTTATTATATCCTATTCAAGCTCAATTCATAGAGTGATGATGCTTATTAACGAGCAACTCTTTTAAAATTATAAATGAGCATAATTGTGCCTTACTTGAGCTTTATATGAGTAATTTATTAGGAAAAAAATTGATCATTTTAAATAAAACTGATTGAATATAAACAAAGTAATCATTTAGAAAATATTATTCACTAATGAGCTTTAATCAAGCGTCTCAATGAGTTTTTTTACGGGCTTTAAATGATATTATTTATAAATTTAAATAAATCGAAAAACAAGCTATTCAAATTTGCTCATTTATCAACCGAGTTTTTACGAAAATGTTCATACTCTTTAAATTAGGTAAATAATCATAAACAAGCTTTAATCGAGTCAAGTCATTGGATAATTTGTCAAATGCTCAGTTCATATGCAGCCCTATTGAAGTGGATTCCTTTGAATCTTTAATTTGTGTGAACGACAGCTCTGGTAATGTGGTAGATTCAACTCCAAGATCATCAGCATGTTTGTAAACAATGTTCTTGAGTTTGTGCCTCTTTCGATATGGAGGCTTAATTCAGACCTACATGGCTCGGCATGTCCTATTAACAGTTTTCCAAGAACTCGGGGTTAGTTTGGGAGAACCTTGGGTGATATACTGCTCTATTTTAACTAACTAAACTGAAATTTCGTGAGATGAAAATGAACATATCCCTCAAGAAAAATCAAGATGGAATGGTTTCTGTGAATAAACAATGTGTAGTCTGTGCTCTTATGTATACAACATTTATTAGCTTTGTCTTTATAAAAGTGTACTACCTGCATTGACTGTCATCTGCGATAATAAGAGGACTGTTTTCATGTTTGCTTGCCGTTTATAATAGCATAGTTTTTCTTCTTTAAAAAATTATAATCTGATGTGATGCAGAGTATTGTTTCTGGGCTGAACAGAGGCCTTGCAGCCAGTGAGGAAGACCTCAGAATGGCGGATTCTGCTGCAAAGGAGCTTGAGGCTGCAGGTGGGCCTGTTGTCCTTACCAAAGACTTGGATAACCTCCAAGGGAAGTGGAAGTTGATCTACAGCAGTGCTTTCTCTTCTCGCTCGCTCGGTGGAAGTCGCCCTGGCCCTCCTACTGGAAGGCTTATCCCCATTACGCTTGGACAGGTTTGTCCCATAAATTTTGCTTTTGATTCAGCACAACTTCTAGGATGCGATTATTGATATCCTTTCCATTGAAATTTTGTAAACAGGTGTTCCAGCGGATAGATATCCTTAGCAAAGATTTTGACAACATAGTAGAGCTTCAGTTTAGTACTCCTTGGCCGCTTCCTCAAATTGAAGCCACAGCTACATTGGCTCACAAATTTGAGCTTATAGGTCAGCGACTACATGCCTCCTAATTATTATGAACTCTTTCAAAGATTAGTAAAGCGTAAACTGCAAGATCTGTATTTTGTTTAACAGGAACCTCAAAGGTAAAGATAACATTCGAGAAAACTAGTGTCAAGCCATCAGGGAATTTATCTCAGCTGCCACCTTTTGAAATTCCCCGTCTTCCTGATGCACTGAGGTCTCCTTCAAACACAAGAAGTGGTGAGTTTGAGGTTGTCTACCTTGATTCTGACTTGAGGATAACTAGAGGAGATAGAGCAGAGCTTAGGGTGTTTGTAATCACGTAAGGTTTGTGGTACAGATTTTTTTCCTGCATTTGGAAGAATATGTTCAGATCTTCTTCGGACACGTATTCTTCCAAATAAGAGTTATTACTGCGTAGCACTTGTTCTGTATTTTCTGCCATTTAATTTTAAGGGGATTTGTTATGCTGCATGGAAGAATACGTGTCCGAAGAAGATCTGAACATATATGCTGGTAGAGTTATTACTGCGTACCACTTGTTCTGTATTTTCTACCATTTAATTTTAAGGGGATTTGTTATGCTGCATCTCATTCCCAGCTGTCAACTTATATCAATTTTACTTGATTTTAGCAAGTGGATCGCATGACTTTGTATACATTCTTACGATGCTTTACGCTGTGAAGCTCTCCACATCATGTGTAGGAATGTAGATGATGATATACTGCTTTATGAGCGTGCATGCCACCTGATATCCCTTTGTGACAACATATTGCATGCATGGCATGCGTGTTCTCAGAATCTATGCTGTATTTCTCGAATCTTTTGATTCATATACATGTTATTGTTGAATGCATATCTGTCCGGTAGATCACACTCAAGTAATAGAACGCATTGACTGAGGGAGAGAGAGAGAGAGAGGAGGACTTATCCCGTCGGGGTGAATGGGGTGTTCTCCGGCTCTTATATCTATTTTATTCCATAAAAAATAGAGGTTACAAGGGGGGAACCAAAAATCCATTTACATGAAAGGGACCCCCTATTAATAGATGATAGGAGGATTAAAAATAAAGTGCAATATTACCATTGCTTTAAAAGGGGTTAATACATGATATTTTGATCATCTTATCTGAACCGTTGAATTACGTCGAGATCCGTGCAGATCATTTTTTAGTACACATATTAAGTTCCTCAATTTTCTTCCTCTTAGATAGCGATAGCTGCAATGAGGACGAGAAAATTTATAAAACAAACAAAACATGATCACATAAATTGAACCCCGAGATGGGTTGTCTATATCCCTCAAGGAACTTGTCGCTGTCGGGTAGGGGATCATCTCCAGGGATGAACACAATTCAAATGTGTAAGTAGAGGGGATCGATCGGACGATCTTGGCGTCTCAACCGATCGCTTTTATTTGACTGGGGGGCTTATGTCGCGACCGGTATATATCTGTCTTAGGTTTGGGCCACTCTCTATGGGAGGAGGTGACTTGTACTCCTCTTCAGGATAAATTTCATCGTTCCCTTCGCATAGCTTATCGCTATTGGGTAGGGATCCAACTCCGGAATTGGGTGTTGAAGCCGGGTACTAACCTTTCACTTGCGTTAGTCCTTGGTCGCTCGGTTGGGCCTCCGTCTTAGGTTAGTTCTCCTCTCTATGGGAGGAGGCCGCCTAAACTCCTCTCTGAGGTGATTGTCGACGTACTCTTCGTGGAGCTTGTCGCTACTGGGCAGAGAATCGGATGTTCGTACGATCCGAGCTATGAGACTTGAGCTCGTTGTAAGGAAAATTCATTGACTGGCCCTTGGGGTGTTTTACTGATCAGACGTCTATATCGTCATTGTCGGTTATTTTTTATGCTTTTAATTGATCGAAAGTTCTTTGGATCTTTGTCGGTTTTGCTACAAGGGTTCGAGTTCCTCATGTGTCGAGTGGCCGCTGCCAAGTCTTTACGTGTATAAGGTTGAAGACCAATATAGATATAATTAAATTTCTCCTTGAAGAAGCTGCTAACTTTGCCAATATAATATAGTAGATAGTGAGATATATAAGAATTGAGTGGTATGTTTGTGAATCTTCTCTGATTTTGAGGTGGCCGGCTAGAGCAGCGAGGTGGTCGGCTGGAGGCGACCAGAGCAGCGGCCGGCTAGAGAGTGGCCTGTTGGAGGTATACGAAAAATTGAGCGGTATGTATGTAAATATATAAATATATAAGAATTAAGTGGTATGTATGTAAATCTTTCCTGATTTGAGGTGGAGGCGACCGGAGCAGCGGTCGTCGAGGTTGGCCTGCTAGATTTAACAAGCTTCCTCTATGGTTTCAGGTAAGAGCAGAGTGGACGGCCGGAAGCAGGTAGATGGCCCAAAGCAGGCATCCAATCGGTAAAGTGGCGTTTGATTGGCGAAATTTTTTTAAATAAATCTTCTTTTTTTGAGGAGCCAACGAGTCATCTCCACAATGCCCCAATTGTCTTTTGCTGCTATTAACCTTCTGGGACTTGGAACTTCTATAACCTAGATCATACTTCAAGTTCTACTCTTGTTCTCTTTGATATTTTTGGTCAAATCAATGTTGTTCTTCTTTAACTTGTTGGAATATCTTTTCCATCTCCTCTGCTTCAACAGGTTTTGGTTTGTTGATTAGCCGCTTGGTATTTCCAACTTTAGATCCCCGAACACGAGCTTCTTAACAAGTCGAATGCAAACTGTTCGCGAACAAATAGCCGTTTTGACAACCCTGTTGCATCAAATCAAAGATATTTTTTATGTATGTTTTTTTTTATATATATAAAAAAAACCAATAATATTCATAATTCTCTCTTGAAAATATTTTTTCAAATTGAGGCAGAGATAATATAAGTGTAATTATTTATCTAACATCTGAATATGATGTTCACATGGGCTTAAAGCTATTTCTCATGTATATTCTCTAAAAGAATCAATAGTGGTCATAATTCTTCTAGAAAATATTTTTCTAGATTGAAGCAAAGCTTAGTGAAATGAAATTAATTATCTAACATCAAAACTTTGATATTTTATATAGTTAAAAAAAAAAAAATTCAAATAAACAACAGTGCTTATATATTCATAAATTACTTTTCAGATTGGACAAGAGGAAAAATGAAAAAAATAACTTATACAATATCTAAACTTAATGTTTGCATCAACTCAAAGATATTTCTTATGTATAATTTGAAAGAACCAACAATGCTCAAAATTTAAAAACTATAAGATAAGAACATTGAACATTTAAAAAATTAATTGTTGACCAACAAATAAATTTATTGTTGAATATTAATAAATAAGTTGGATTATATTTAAACTTGTTTCATTTAAAATTTGAGTTTAAAAAAGATATTCACTTCTCTCTTTACAAAGGGCCCGTTTGGGGCATCTTATTTGGTGCAGTGGCGTTTTGAAAACGCATCTGGCCTATTTGGGTAAATTGCGTTTTGACAGCTTATGCGTTTTCAAAATGCAGAAACTACACCTATCTAGGTGCGGTGGGAGCTTATTGATAATGGTCTGATTTTCAAAAAAAAAAAATTGTAATAGTCACCGCCCCTAGCTTATCAGCAGATTATTTTTAATCAATTTATCAGCAGATTATTCAATAAGCTACAGCTGCCCTAAACAGTCCCTAAGTTGGAACATTATTACGAAGTATTAATCCGAGCTGAGTTTGTCTTGCCAAGTGTGCTGGCTCATTTAAAGCTTATTGATCAAGTAAAGTTTCAATTTTGAAACAATAAGGTGAGCTAAAATGCCATCCGCCGGCCGTCGGTCTCTTCCCCTCTCTCCCGCTTCCGGTTTCTCTCCAATGGACGATCCTCACGATCCCTTTGCTTCCATCATATTCGAATGTATAATACCTCCGGAGGCACAAGAAGCTCTCCGTCACGCGCCGGAAGTCGTCGAACCTGGTTTGTGCTCTGCGATCTCCCGCCTAAATTGCCGGACTTTCCCTATTGCTCGTAATCCCGATACTCCTTCGGAGAACCAGATGCTTCCTGATTCTCCGTTGAGCCAAATTGACAAGGGGAACTTTAATGGCGCTCCAACCCGCACCGAGTCATCTTCCAGTTCCATCCCTGAACGGACGCTTCCGCTGGACAATTTCATCGACCTAGTTAAGCATTTCTCCCTGCATTCGGATCGGAGCTTAGGTGATAAAGACATTCTCGAAATCGCTGAAAGGAAAGGCATTCATTTCCCTCCACCCGAGTGGTGGCGTACTGGTGGCTACAAAAAGGTGATTGTTTTTGTTTGAATTTTCTTGTCTGTGAAATTTGTTGTCATACTTTACAATCTGAATGATCTGCCTTTTTTGCAGGTGCCATAGAGGCTGTTTGATGAAGCTTTCCTATTTTTGAGGTCGAGACGGTCTTGCTTTCTGCTATACTTTTCCTTTTGCGTGATTCCTCCAAACTGTTAGATGAAACGGCGATGAAACCTTTGTTTTTTTTTTCCTTTTGATGATGACGCTGTTTAGTCCTTCTGGCACATGATCTCGATCGCTTCTTTCTATTTTGCATGAACCAGATTGGGTCATCATTTTATTAAACACTATTGTTTGTTCATATGAAACTGGCTAGAAAATTTTGAACATTTGTTTGAGTTCTTAACACTTTTTTCCCATTCTCCTTTTCTTATGATAATTTAATCCCTTTGATTATAATCACAAAAATTGTAAAAATCTCCAAGTCATACTTGTTTGAGTTAGGTTGATCATGTCATTATGAGAGTCTGAATTTAGCTCAACGAGCCATTGATTGTGAGCTACTCAAAGCCAACCTTATCAAGTTATCCATAAGACAAACCTCACTCAATTCTTAGTATCGTGGTATTATGCTCGCCCAAGGGATTGATGAAGTCACTTAGACATCTTAAACTCTATACTCAATTCTCAATAGCATACTATTAAGTTCTTCATCCATATCACCCACATGAAAATTAGGGGCTTTTCACTATATTTTGCTAAAGGTATCTACCCTCAATTTGCAGCACTCGTAGTTTTCAAATATCACACATTTATGAACCAAACTCATGTATCATACTACTAGCTACATTTAGTCCGTTTGATGCATTTTTCTTGTAATCTTGTCAAGCAACCAATTATGTAGCATTGACCCTTTATCCCCTCCTACAAACAAGGGATAGTGATCAAGTGTGAATATCATGTAATTTTTATTTTTACCCAAAATATTGTTTCACTAAAATCTGATCTTTATAAATCAGCTCGTTCAAAAGATTTCCGAGTCTCTCTCTCTCTCTCTCACACACACACAAATTTGTATACCCCCTCTCTCTTTCTTCCCTTTGAACTTGATCCTTATTTCAAACAATATTTTGATGTCTTTTTACAGAAAACATTGGATCTAACACTCTAAAAAAGATGGGCTTGGATTTGTTAAAGATAAAGAACTGAATCATGGATTTTCCCAATGATATTGAATTTCCCTTCTAAATCAATGACCCATTGTTTATGCTACCTCTAAACAAGTTATTTATATGGAGGCCCATTTCAAAAATATGATCTAGAGGACTTTCTAGTTCTTATCATAAGTTATGCATCCGACTCATTCCATTTATGAGCACAAATCACCCATCTACCTCAAAGTCTTTGCCATCTCAACTTCAAAGTTTATTGTCACCGACAAAATGTCCCACATCGGCTAGGTGTAGAGCCGAAAAACAGTATTTAAGTCTTGGATTGTCCACCATCCCAAAAAGCTCTTTTGGGAGGTGACAAGTGGTATCAGAACATATTACTGACTGTCAGGTGTGTGGACTCTCCATGGTCCAGTGGGACCCTCGGTGGAGCCGTTCCGTGACGATGGTGTCACGTGATTGGATTGAGGAGAATGTCACGGACCAAAAGTCCCACATCGGCTTGGTATAGAGCCGAAAAACAGTATTTAAGTCCTGGGCTGCCCACCACCCCTAAGAGCTCTTTTGGGAGGTGACAAGTGGTATCAGAGTCGATTACTGCTTGTCAGGTCTGTGGACTCTCCATGGTCCAGTGGGACCCTCGGAGGAGCCGATCCGTGACGAGGGTGTCGCGTGTTTGGGTGGAGGAGAATGTCACCGACAAAAAGTCCCACATCGGCTAGGTGTAGGGCCGAAAAGCAGTATTTAAGTTCTGGGCTGCCCACCACCCTGAAGAACTCTTTTGGGATGTGACATTATGCTCTAGCTCATTCTATTGATGAGTTATACCTTTTTGAATTGCGCACAAAAAGTTGCCTTTCTCTTTCCATTCAATAAAGTGTTAATCATTAGGCATAACCTAGGAATGTTACCTTGGTGCAAATCACCGGGGCTTGCGTGTTGGTGTATTTTGTGCTGGATTCCTGCCAAAGGAAGCTAGACACATCAGATCATGTTTCTCACTTCGATTTGGCAATTTCTCTCCTCACAAATATTGATTTAGTGAAGTGCCTACTCCTTTTCATCATATTCAAAGAACTAATATTATGATGGCTCTCTTACCTTCCTCCATAGATCATTACCATTTTTTTAGCCTTCAACTCATTACGCAATTAGCTAATGCTCAATGGCTATTGAGGAATTCATAGGCTTTGTTGAACATGAGACATGAGTTTGATAAGCCTCTTTGCTGCTTCATTAACGGCTCCTAAAATAAGGTGATGAACATCCAAGATTTGGAGCTTATTGCCTTCCATGCAATGCTCGCTCAAGGTTTTCAAAAAGTTTCTTCTTGTTGTGCTCTCAACTTTTTGAAAATCGAAAAGATTTTTAAAGTTGCTTCAGTTGATTAGCATACACATTAATGTTGGAAATACATTCATATGATTTCAACTTTGACCTCTAAGTCACATTATTTCAAACATATTAGGAACTGTTAGTGACATTTCAGGGATCATTAAAAGAAATCGCTCAGTAATTAAGATAAGCCAATAAAAAAGCTTTACCATCATTACTACCACCAGTAGTAAGCCCTCAGAGGCAAGTTAGAGACTTGCCTACCTACGACTACAAAAATGGAGCAGTCACCTCAATAGTTTAGGTTACACTCCACCCTAGGAACAATTACTGAGAATTAGGATTATTTTAGTGATATGGAGTATTTATCTAAACATTTGCCAATGCGACCCACATCCATTTCCTGTTAGTCTTTGAAAGATTACTTTCTTCACAAAGATTATGGGCATGATATAGATGATTCTCCATCTTTGCGGTTCATTCAAAGAGTTAATCCACTCTAACAAACTAAAAGAATTTATTCTTGTTGCCTAGGATTAAGGCCTAAAAAGGTACCGGGAAAGATAAGAATGAGCTTGTCCTAACACTTTTGATATGTATAATATGGGTCAGCCCATTAGTTATTTTGGGTGTATGTTGCTTTCAATTCAATCTCATCTTTGAAGGTTTTGAAATTTGTCATCAAACACTAGCCATCCACCGATTGAAAATCCTTACAATGACATTATTGTTTGATAGATTTGATTGTTAACTACTAGATTTGTAGCATCTTAGTTTGCATAGAAAGTTATTTAAGCATTAGTTTAAACATTTTTTATCAGATTCAATTAGAAACTTAAAAGTGCATTTTGATAATTTTTTTTTATAAGCACATTGAAACCAAAGATGCAATTGCAATGTCAATAGCATGGGGGAGGGCAACCAACCATAAACCACCATGGATGACTACGTCATATTTGATGCCCTAACAGCATGCACATATATCTTTGGTTGCTTACTCCTCAGTATCTCCAAGGCAGTTGTCTTGATGTGCCACATGGCAGTTTATGTTTTTATGAGATGTTAAACTCTCATACTCTAGGGGATTTGCTGCTAACCTAGGGGTACTACTTGAAAGCAGTTAGAATATCTAAGAGGAAATTCTGCAACTTGACATCTAGAGAGGAAGTGGTTTTTACAGCTCATTTTCTATGGAGCTTGCCTTCTATATAGCCATTATAAGTGGTAAGAGAAGATCGAACACCATAACTTAAGCTGAAGAGCCTAATCGATAAATTCTTTATTTCTTCTTTCCTACAAATAAATTAGTTCATGCTTCAAAATCTAACTGTTGAGACAATCATTCACCCAAATACTCACCTCCTACAAATGTCAAATTGCACGTATGCAACATGCAGAAAATCTTTGTTACTGACATTCATATAATTGTAAATAACTAGCATTTTGATTATGTTAAATTTATAATTGTATGAACAATTCGGAGTCTGTCGTCATTGTTGGCATTGATTTACATCTACTACAAGTGTGTTAGCCCTCACTGAAATTTTTTTTCTCATCCTCTCAAATTTGTTTATAAAGTTTTATTTTTATATATTGTCTATTTTGAGAGATTAACAATGTAATTGTTGGGTTCCAATCCCAGGATGTGAAAATTGGAGAGTTCCGTTAGGTGGTCGACAACCAGCGTAACATTTATTGAAAAATTTTGACATAAATTCTTTTGATTCTTGTGTATATGTTAGGCATTCCCTAAAAGCTACGCGTTGTATGACTAGAATATGGTGAAAGAGTGCAAGGGTCACTATATCGGGGCACGGTGTAGTATCAAATAAGCAATGGTTCTCACATTACGGATGAATGTAAGGAAGTTAGAATATGAAACTAATATTAGGATAGAATCTTGGGATATAGGTACTCTTACAGGTAAATTAATAGAATTAACTGATATTATGTTAAATATCTTATGTATTCAAGAAACTAAATGGATTGGAGAAAAACTAAGGACATTGATAGCTTAGGTTTTAAACTTTGGTATTCAGGTAGGAGTCACATTAAAAATGGCATCAAAGTGGTAGAAAATTTTAGAAATATGCATGGTGGCTACAGTTTTGGAGTGATTAATGAAGAAGGTAGTTATATTAGACTTTTCTTTAGTGTATTATTTTGTGATTGCTAATACTTTATTCAAGAAAAAATATTTTCATATTATTACTTATAAGAATGGATCTAATAAAGCACAAATTGATTATGTTCTTATGAGAAGTGATCCTCGAGAATGTATAAATTATAAGATCTTTCCAAGTGAGAATTTAAGTACTCAATATCGATTATTAATTTTGAATTTTAAGATGAAAAGTTGTAAAATAAAGAATACTAGAAACCACTATCATAGAATTAGATGACACCTAAAAGACAAATAAAATTATTTTTATTAGTAAACTTCAAGATTTTAAGATTTGGGATGTGCATGAAGAAGTAAATTATATGTGGGATAATTCTATGTGGGATAAAATAACGAACACTATTAAACAAGTGACAAAAGATGTACTTGAAGAATCAAAATGAAAAGTTTATATAAATAAAAATCGTTGGTGGTGGAATAATAATATGCAAGAAAATATAAAATATAAGAAGTTGTGTTATAAAAATTTGTTTAAATGTTAAAGCATACATAACTGAAAAAATATAAAAACGCCCAGGGAGTCTAAGAGAACAATTTTTTTCTCAAAAAAAATTGTTTGCAGTGATCTTTATAATATATTAGATACTAAAGTGGGTGAAATATATATATGTTCAAACTAGCCAAACAAAGAAAAAAGAAAAGTAAAGATTTAACTCAAGTAAAGTTCGTTAAAGATGAAAA